CACGTTAAAAATAATATACTTATTCGATGTTTCAAAAGATCTGCGATTTCTTTTCACACCATAAACAGAAGTCTAAATGAAGCATGGGGTGGGTGTGCTGGGGCAGCACCTTTAGTCCCTTGGAGGGGCACTCCCTTTAGTCCTTCCCTTCCCCTGGGAATTCTACCCAAGCATATGTCAACACACTCGGCCAAATTTAACAAATACCTACGGTTAAAATGCATGATTTTCATGAGTTTTTCAGAAATACTAACAATAACCTTTATGATGATTAACATAGGCTTTGTTCTTCAATTGTTTTTCAGTTGTGTCCAACTCTTCACGACCTGTTTGGAAATAACTGGAGTATTTTGCCATTTCCTTCAGCTCATTTCATAGATGAGGAACTGAGGCAAACTGGGTTAAGTGACTTAACAGGGTCACATAGCTAGTGAGTGCATGAGGCAGACTTTGAACTCAGAAAGATGAGTCTTCCTGACTCCAGTCCTGGCACTCTACCCACTATGCCACCTAGCTGTCTTGTCCAAATAAGATACTCCGATTCTTAGATGACAGAAATACCCATTCTTTCAAACTGATGGGATTTACCAAACTTATGCTCTGCTGACACGGCCCTAGAAAAACATTGTAAATTTCACATTGTGATAAGGCACTATGACAAGATCTTATTGGAAGTACAAATCAAATAGTCAGCAGCTATTTTCAGTCAACCTGAGGAGAAAACATTTTCCTTACATAATGATGATCCCATTATCAATGGAAAAGGAATCTGAGGGCAAGCCAGCAATGTTCCAAGCTCGGATTTTCACAGGTTCTCCTAATGAGCTTGTAAGAGAATAATCATCTGAGCAAGGGATGTCTCTTTCTCTGCATGACAATGTCCATTCATCAGTTTGGTTCTTTTAGAAACAAAAAAAAGAGCAAAAAAGTTTGGATATTAGAAAAATTACAGTTTAAATATAACATATGTCTCTGGATTAAATATTTCAAAAATTATAATTTTCTAGTTTATTACAACATATGTTTTAGTTTGTATCACAATAAAAGGGTTAAAAAAGAAATATATTCTATTCCTTTTTAGGATTAAAGGACTTACGTAAAGCCTAAACCACTTAATATTAAAGTTGGTAGAATCTTGTGCATACTGAGAAAAAATAATTACCAACCATTATTCTAAAGCCTTATCATTTTATAAATATAATCTTGAGATTACTGCATTTTCTCCATAAAATATCTTTGAATTATAAATATATTTCCTCATGCATAATGTATTTCAGAACTTAAGTAGTATAACACTATAATGTAAGTGTAAATTCTTTTTTTCAACTTTGTCACTGGTAAAGGAAACAGTTGCAAAAAAAAAAGTTTTTTTATTAGCCACAAATCAGTGAAATTTATCTGACTTTTCTGTTTATCATAGGGTAGTTTTCCCTCTATTTAAAATTTCAAAAGAGGAAACTATTGGCTCCTGAAACATCCCATTCCACTTTGTTGTTGTTGTTCAGTCGTTTGAGTTATGTCTGACTTTGTGATTCCACTTGGGGTTTTCTTGGCAGAGATACTGGAGTGATTTGCCATTTCCTTCTCCAGTTTATTTTATAGATGAGGAACCTGAGGCACACAGGGTTAAGTGACTTGCCCAGGATCACACAGCTAGTAAGTGCCTAAGGCCAGATTTAAATTCAGGAAGATGAGGCTTCCTCACTCCAGGTCCTGCATTCTATCTATTGGGCCACCTAGGTGCCCTATTCTATTTTTTAAATAGCTCTTATTATTAGAAAGCTTTTCCTTTGGGTGGCTCATGAATACCTATACTTCTGGGTGGTGCAGTAGATAAAGTACTAGACATGGAATCAGAAAGACCTAAATTCAAATTCAACTTAGACACTTAATAACTCTGCCCCTGGGCAAGTCACTTAACTGCTTTCTGCCTCAGTTTTCTCATCTGTAAAATGGGGATAATAATAGCACCTACACCCCATAGTTGTGAAGATCAAACAAGATATTTATAAAGTGCTTTGTAAACCTTGAAGTGCTTTATAAGTGATCATTATTATTAACTTGTTTTTTTAAATAATATACTAATAACTGTATTTAAATATAATTGGCACCCATGTGTTCTACTTTATGCATTTAAAAACATCATTCTGAGAAGGGTTCCATAGGTTTCACCAGACATCTAAAGGGGTCTAAGATACAAAAAAAGGTAAAAATCCCTGCCATAGAGGAAATGTGACTTTGTCTCTTTGCAGTTTCCACCTATACTACAGTTCCTGCTTCTGCCCCCTGGGATCAGGATATTCACTGAAAGTATTAAATCCCCCTTTCTCCATGAGCCTCTTCCAATTCCGGTCTTGCTAGAAGAGTTGCCATAGTTATTTATGGCATTACTGAATAAAGTAAAAACATCTGTTCTTCAATTAATGATTTTAAAAAACCAATTTCAACCACCATATCACCATGAACCCTGAGTGCAGGACTTGTAATCAGAAGAAAAGAGAGTTTAAATCTTGTCTCTGATGCTTGCTAGCTGTGTAGCCACAAACTTTCTGAATCTCAGATTTCTCAACTGTATGTAAGGCCAAATCTGGAAAAGACTGTCAGTCATGTGTATATAATAATACTGGAATGTGATGAGTGGCAGGGAAAGATTTTGGTGTATTTGTTAGAGTTATGAGGGGCCCCTCCACACATTTCCCGAGGTCACACATTTTACTTATAAGTATCTAGATTTCCCACTGATCTATCTATTTATGGCAGAGTATGCCTCAGGTTTATGAGAGAAATGTTTTATTGCTACTTTTCTTATTATACTACTACACATTATCAAATACCTTTACTAGGAATTGTTTCCTTTGGATGATCAGTAAAGGCAAATACATCAGTGGAGACTCATGAGTTATGATTTTGAATGGATATAGACCCAGAGAATACCCATATGAGCTGAGGGGAAGGTATCCCCTTGTCATCATGTATAAAATGGGGTTTATAGTACCCACCACCTCACAGTCTTCAATCCAATAAACATTTATTGGGCACCTACTACATGCCTGGTACTATGCTAAGATCAATATGAAGATCAAATAAGATAACACAGAAAGCACCTTACAAATCTTAAAGCACTATATAAATGTCAACTATTAGAATCTCTTTCTCCAGACTCCTTCAGTACCCTGGACCCTGGACCCATTAAAGCTTTTTCTGAGTACCCTGTACCTGCTATGGATCTTTCCTGTAGCTCATTCTCAAATTTGCTAAAGCTACTTTCCTTTGCTTCTTTGGTCTTACAAACTATCTGGTCTCAAAAAGCTAAACCATCTTAAGGAACTGCATTTCCATTTGTTACATCCCAGGCAGTTCTAGCCTCTTTTTGTTACTTTGGATCAAGAGAAGATGGAAGCCTGAGGGAGAAGCAAAGGTAGGTAGGGGAATCAATTCATCATTAAGACTTTAATGACCTTCTTATCACCGAAAATTGTGGGGAATTAAAAGGAAGCAAAGGAGACATAGGCCTGTATGTAGTATCAGTCACTGATGAAGTTGAGTGATAAAACAAGCATAACTTAGGGTTCTCTCTTTGGGAGATGCATTATGAATTCTCCATTTTGCCAATTTCTCCCTTAACCATTTTAGCACACATCATCCTCCTTTCTCTCTCAAAAGGGTACCACCATTAATTCACTCCTATCCTCTATCTTCCTGGTCAAAAACAGACATATTTTATTCCTCTCACGAGATATGAAATAAACTTATACTTTAATATTTTATTCTTTTTACTTTTTTGTGAGCTGTTCTTGAATGGAATACTGCAGACACAAAATTTTCATAATTGCTACTATACTGTAGAGTATTCCTGGCAGAATTGAGTAACTGAATATTCTAGTTGTTGAACTTTTCTGATTAAGAATTATCATATACACCATTTATGGTCTCCTTCAAGAGTCAACTGAAGCACCACCATCTACAGGGGCCTTTCCTGGTCTCTTCAGCTACTAGTGGCTTACACTGTGTCTAATTTATAGATGTTTTATATATTTGTATATGTTAGAAAGAATGCTTCACTAGAATATAAGCTCTTTGCAGGCAGGCACTAGTTTCCTTTTGCGTTTGTATACTATCAGCTTGACACACTGCCTGGAACTTTGGAGGCACAGAATACCTGACCAATTGTTTTCATTGTGTTTTGTTGTATTATAGTTGCATGACTGGTAGCAAGAACAAATGGCTAAAGGTCTTCCCGAGAGGCCCTAAGGAAGTGAATTTAAGGGACTCACATTCTGTCCCTTAGGAGGCACACTGCCGCTAATACAATAATGTCAGAAGTTGGAACTGGGCAACAAAGTGCTATACTGATCAATAACAGATCCTACATATGGCATCAGGAAGAACAAATACTAGCCAAGGCCTATTATTTTATGACCATGAGGTAACAATAAGTTTTGGCATATGGATCAAGACAGAACCCTAGAGCTAGAAAGAAACAATTTCCACAGGCTCAAGACATTATTTGATATATCCAGAAAAAACAACACATGCTACATATTTGGAGAGTATAAGCAATAGCATGTTTTTTGAAACTTATATGCCTTGAGTTTTAATCTCTGGAAGGAAATAAAGCACATCTAATGGTGACTGATGTTTCATTTACCCATTAGGAATCCAAAAGCTTCTATAGCTGTTGAAGTATTTTGGAAGAAGCGTTTCTTTGAATGTGGATCCCTTTACTAGGATCCATTATGGCCAAGGTAGAGTCTTTTAAAGAAAACTACTCCAACAAATATTGGACTTGACAGTTATCAAAAAGTCTCAAACTATATTTTTCCATCCTCCAAAGAGACCCACAGCTTGAGCTTTTAACTGCAAGTTAATTAACATGCCAGAAATACCAAGGCCTGAACAGAAATCTCAGTGGAATCAACATGTGGCATTCCTAGTGCAATGTGTGCAACTTTACTTGGAATGATGCTACAGGTTTTACATCACTTGCTGAAGGTTGGACTAGAACCACACCTATTAATTTGTGCTTTGTAGTCTCAGAAAATGGAGAAGAAGTATAGACACATGATCAGTATCTTGACTGAGAGATAGGTAAAGTAAACCTGCTAGTCAGTCATTTCAGCTTAGAAGAAATCCAAAAGGTCTCAAAAATGAAATTCTTAAGATTCAAAGAGAAACCATTCTGATGAGGAGGAAAAGAGGGAGATGTCAAAAGAAATTAATATGAATATATAACAACCTCATTAATCCACTTAGATTTCTAAAAGACATTTATGGAATATGTAAGCAAAGGAAGGCAAAGAAGGATGAAGAAAGAAATATGGTACAGTCTAGTGATGACAGTGTCAGGACTGCTGATGTTCAGAATGAGAGGAGTCTAGCAGGGAAAGTTAAAAACAAAAAGGATCCTTTTTAAGTTCTACTGGAGAAAAGAGGCTGATAGAAGAAAATAATGGAATTTTGCACGGGGTGGTTGGGACAATGATGTAGAAAAGGCAGAGGGAGTTTGCCAAGGAGAATCATCCTTGGACTAGAAAAGAGAGAGCAGAAATAACTAACAGGGAGAAGGAAGGTGAGTATTTAGTTACCTTTGATGAGTTAAAGTAACCATAAACAGAAGAACCACATATTCAGACATCTAAAAAATTGGCAAATATGACTGCTGAGTCAATGTCAGACATCTATGAAGGATTCTGGAGAATGGGAGAGTGAGAAAATATATACCAGATTCTGAGATTATTTGATAAGATCTATTGGGGGGGGGGTCCAGGCTGGCAATTTTATTGCTTTAAGAAACTCCTAGTGAGAAAACTTCCTCTACCAATGCAGAGTGGGCAGACTGGCCCTTGTAATCTTTTTCTAAAATTACTTTATTCATATTTTCTATGCCACATTTGAGTTC